TTCCACAGAAAATTTTGTTCTCTCTTCTGCATAAACCATTCTAGTTAATTTAACCTTCAGAATGGAAGATGGCAAAAGCACTGAAGGTTGCAGAACACTCATAACAGAAGAGTTCTATGTGCTGGCAAAGGACAACAGACAACCTTTAGTTCTGAAAAACATACAGAGTAGAAAACACCCTATACCAGGAAACGGAGGCCAAACAGCCCAATCCAACATTAAAAGCTGTGGTAACTCCAAAGCTTTATCAGGTTTCTCCAGGTCTTAGCTAGGTGACTTCTGAAAATCTCTAATGATGGTGATTCTTATTTACTCTCATGGTGAATTTTCTTTAAGTCCCATCAGAATTTCATTTACATAACTTGTGACCACTACTTTTTGTGCTTTTGCCACGGACCTCTGAGGAGAGTCTGGTTCTGTCTTATCTGTAATACTTCAATGGGTCATAGAAGAGCCTGCATCAGAAATCTTTCTTTTTCAGCAGTTAAAAAGCACTGCTTTCTTAACTATATACCTAATTAGCAATACTCTTTTCATCCCACTTTGGTATCAACTGGTTCAACAGAAATACATCACAACATGTCATAAACAACATATATTCCTTGCAGTATTGACACTGGAAGAAAACTTCGTTCTAACACTTTATCAAATACAAGCACTTCTGGAGGGCAGATAGTATAAGAAGTTTCTGCTCTAATCACTTTTAATTTCACTTCTATTAACAGAAGCAAAGAACACCTTCCTCATGTGTTTTAAAGCTGAAGAACCAGTGAGCTAAAAATCAACAGGGGTTTTTCCCTCCACTTTTAAACAGAGGAGAACACATATGAATTCTAAAGCCTGGAACCAAATATTAGATCGAGAGAGTCAAGGTTTTACCAGTTCATACACTGGAATATTCAACGGAGGTCTTGACTCCCCACTAAAAATCAAGACTTAAATGATGAAAGTGTCTGAGGATCATGTATGTCAAATCTTTCTGCTAAAACTGATAGCAAGGATGTATTTTTACTCAAAAATGTGACTATAAGAGAATTTTTGAATTAGGAAGATACAGACAGGATTGAAGAAATTTAATTGTGTAACTTATTTATGTTAATTATCACTTCAACCATCAATTAAAGTTAGGTTGAATAAAAAAAAAAAGGAATAAAGTACATGCCCTCAACAGACAGTGGGAAAGCGTAACATCTTGGAACATGGTGGGAAATACACCTGTGTTGGACCAAGGCTATAAACTTTGTTAAGGTAAGCAAAATACAACATTTCACTGTTGGTAGTGTGGCCAGAGTTAACATCAGTTCTTGCGAAACTCTCAACAAAGAGAAAGTGAGGCCACATGTGTGCAAGTCATTTAAAACTAGGACTGTAGAAATAAGCTGTTGAGAGGTCTTACTGTGGCAGGCAGACAGATAAGGTGACAGATCGTTTCTCAACTTTAAAAGGCTGAAAAAAATCAGAAAAGGAAGTCCAGCTAATTTAGGAACAGTACGGACAATGAACATTCTTTGTGAAGCAGCAGCAACTTAGCAAATTCTGTAAGTTAAACTTAATTGGTGTATCTCTATAAGAAGTTCAACAAATACTGCATGATAATTTAAAATATACACAGGTCAAGTCCCAGAACCTTAAATCCCTGCAGCACTTATGCTTCCACTTACTAACAGCAAGCAGAGACACCTGAACTGTTCAAACTGGTCTGTATTTCACTGCTGTATATCAGTAACAGCATTTAATTTCTTCCAAATTCCAGAAAAGCATAGAAAATGTTTGTTTCAGTCCATTTCTACCTTTTTATTAATTCTTTCTAATATTTTTTTATTTTATATAAATATTTGACTTACCTTTGCAATTTCTCCCCATTCCTCTTACGAAGTCAAATCTAAACATAATTTTCATCTTCTTAATAACTGTGTAGCAGTTTAACAATTTACAGGTAAATTTCATACTTCTAGTATCAGTACTGGGGTTTTCAGCACAGTTCATTCACAAAGGCTGAAGGCAGTTCCTAACACAATTCAATTTCAGCTAAGTGTAGTTAGATCAGTATTTAAACAGCTAAATACGAAGTTGGAGCAATCGATTTTCCTTTCATTTAACCTTTTAGAAGGTATTAAGACTAAACAGGGACATTGTTGTGCCTAAATTCA